ATGTTCTCCTTCCACTCGGCTTACCATATCTTTAATCACAGTCATTAGAGCATTGAACTGATTCAGTGTCAGTCCATTCTCTATACTTAATGGCATTAGAAATGGGAGGATTCTAGTAGCCATCAGTTCTTTTGTAATGCCAAGCTTCTTATGTGTTAATGCCAATTTGTAGATCCCTAGAAGGCAAAGATATCGACAGTTACATTAGTTGTCATAAAATATGCACAAGACCTTATTCAAAGTTATAATGATTTCTCATTTTCACTGACTTATTCTGGTATAGCACATTTATTATCTTGGAACATTCATAATCCAGCAAGGACTAATACGTGACACAAATTTAACAACAAAACTGAAAATAAAGTTATTAAAAAAATATGTAACAACTCAAATTTATACAAGACCAAATATTTCATAAGTTGTAAAATTATTGCAAAAAACACATTTTGAACTAATATAAACACAGTTTAAAGAATTTTGATAGACAGTTATATAACCACCATAAATTTTTCTGTATGAAGCCCTAGCAAACTCTTCCACAACGAAAGTGCTTTTGCACATTTTCTTTCACTAACATATTGTATACAAAACACACTTCAGTATGACTATAATCACAAACTGGTCATACAGTAAGGAAGTTAAGTTCAGATACTGGTGCGTGTAATAGCAATCAGTTGCATCTGTGTGCATTGAGATGAGGGTAGTGTTAAATGCTGCTAAAAACATCAATATCCTGTTGCAAGTCGGTAAAATATCAACCATTTCTCCTTTTTACTCGGTATAGGAGAATGAGATATGAGAAATTTTGAAATGGTTGAAGGGTGCAAAACTTTAAGATCTTGTGTTGGTTATTTGGATAGGGCAAGTGCATACAAACAATGAAATAGCAACTGATGGAGTTATTATGGAACATATACTTATATAAGAGATAAGTGTGACAAATTTTACACACAAAAACTTGTATGTATTTTGCTCCAAAAACTAATCACATTACAAAAGGAAGCAAAAAAATAAATACTACAGAAGGATTCAATACAAGTGAAGCCATTCTGACAGTAGGAAACAGAAGCCCAGATATGCTCCTGTAATCAAAACATGTAAAAATAAAAATTGTTCAAGATTCATTCATTACATTTTCTTGGATTATTAACCCTTTGAAGCCAAAGTTCATCTAAATAACACTCAACAATTCATAAAGTGAAGCTTTCGCGGCAACCAAAGTTAATGAAAACTCTCGAGCAACAAGCCGCATCAGGTGGCTGAATGGTTCATTCACCATTCAGCCACCTGGTGCGGCTTGTTGCTCGAGAGTCTTTCATTAATTTAAGAATTCATTCTGCACCTGAAAGAAGATGCAACCCTTCTCAATTAATAGGATCAACTTGTTAATGTTGTTTAGAGAAATGACCACTGTTTACAGTATCACTGTAAATATAATGTAAATACAAAATGTAGAGTTAATGACTCTTAAACCAGCTGGTACACATACTGTCCACAGACCAGGAGAAAAGCCCTGCGGGGGGAAGTCGTTTCTGGGGCAGTGCAGGGGGAATGTTTACTATCAAGTGGACTAGAGGGCTGCTATTGGTGGGAAGTGTGATACGTCAGTTTTACACTACTACACATAGACTGAAAACATCAAGCAGTTAAGATTAGCATGTAGTGAGTCCACCTCTAATGTGTTCTGTGGATGTTGTGATAATATTCTAGATTAAATCACTGTGCCACTGTGAGGTAATCTTAAAGCTGTACCCATTAGAACACATGAAAGCCTGTTGTCCATTCAGTGGTTGTGGAACGAATGCGTTTAGGATGGGTCGTCACTCTTGCGCATACACACTTATCGAATTCCTAGCAGGGATTTTCTCCTGGTCTGTGGACTGTAGTTACTACTATGCTTTAAATGGTTAACAACCCAACTTATCTACAGTTCTATCATATATTTCTCTAGTGTTCTGTTGGGTATAGTAGCACAGCATACCAAGTATTCCCATTAACACAGCAGGTTCTCTGGAAGGGATCTGAGGCAGAAATGGAAGTACTTCATCCAAAACTAACCACTTGTCTAGGTGCTCCAGCAACTTGCCAACACATACCAGACAGTTCACACGCACCTGCAAACATAACAGCAATACACCAAATAAGAAAATGGCTGTAACCTCATGAAGGAGACAAAACCACTGAATTTTAGATTCACGTAACATTCTTTTGCTGTTAGGGGAAATAGTATGCATAGAATGTAAATGGCTTTCTTATTGCATAACATAATTTTACTCTTAACACTTTTGCTGAGGTTTATGAATGATGAATAAGACAATTATAAAATATAAATTAAAAATGAGGTGAAAGAAATCATAGACTTCTTCACTCACTCTCAGAATAATCAGCCCCAAATGTCAAAAAAAGAGAGACCTTTAGAAACAAAATAAGACCTGTGAGGAGGAACAATGGTTTGTTCTTTTGTGTATGACACACAAAATGTCAAAAGTTAGGCATACAGTTTGATAATGTTAGAAATGTTAAAATTTTTAATTATATTGAAAACATAATTTTGTAAATTTGGTACCACAGTTTTCTCTTACAGTGTATCATATATGTATGCAAGGAATTAAAATATTTAACACGTGTATTTAATTTAATGTCACTTCACTGTATACTTTTCAATACCAATTTCCTACTTGTTAATAAAATTAGAATATGATTTATTCTGATATTTGATGTTCGTTCACTTGTCACTTTTTACACATTTAATAGATGTTTCTGGAATGACTCCCATTTGCAATAAACACACTTACTAGTAAGTGTAAAAAGTGACACATGAACAAACATCAAATATCCGAAGAATACACTCTAGGATGATGCACTACAGAATTAGATTACTTCTGTTGCTTCCCTATAACACACATTCATACTGTTATAAAGAGTTCTACTTTATATACAGGTTGGTTATAAATGTATACAATATTTGTAATTGTTCATAGTGGTAATTCTGTGCTGATTTCCACTTCATGTAATGCTAACATTAATTTACCCTCCTGTACTGAAACCTATGGGATATGCACTGATATACAGCGATTCATCAAACACATTCACATTTCACAGAATTCTAACCAATCAAACACATTTTATTTATTTATTTTTATTGATTTATTTGACTGCAAATGGGTTTTTACCTGGTGGCAGTGGTCCTACAATAAGACACAAAACAATAAGACACAACAAAACAATAAGACACAACAGAACAATGAGACAGAACAAAACAATAAGACACAAAAAACATAAGACACAACAAAAACAATAAGAAACAACAGAACAA